GCGCTTGCCAGTGAAGCGCTTATCCTACTGAGCCATCTCCTGGCTCCCCTCATCTGTTATTACTATTTTTTGTTACTGGGACTCAAAACTCAAGACTTCATGTTTGTCAGGCAAGCACTGCATCTCTTGTTGGCTATAATTGGTTTTAAATCTCTTAAGTGCAGTTCTCCAGTGAGCCACCTGAATCCAGGTGTTTTGTTTTGGTTTTTGTTTGAGCCATGTTCTTGCTATAGAGGTCAGGCTGACCTTGAACTCTTGGTGAGTCTCTGGCCTCAGCCTTCAGAGTGCTGGGATTATAGGGGATCAGCTGTATGCCTAGCTCTAAGCATTTCTCTGTGGGTTCTTTGGATACTAACTCAATTCAGGGGCCATGATCCAGCTCAGGACCACAAGCACCTACCTGGCAAGCCCAAGGTCCCAAGTTTGATTCTCCATACCAAAAGAAAGGAAGAAAATTAATTCAATTAGGATGCTCTGCACTTCCTACTGATTGAGTGTTGGTGATCGCATCTATGGGGATTGTTTTTCATCAAAATGATCTATTGGGATATGGTTGTTTGTATTTCATTTATTTAAATGCTGTATGGTTGGTTAACAGAGATGTGCCTGTTGAACTTCTGGATTTATTATTTGAGTACTTTTTTTTTTTTCTTTTTGGCAGAACTGGGGCTTGAATTCAGGCCCTTGAGCTTACCAGGGAAGCGCTTATTCCACTGAGCCATCTCCCCACCCCCCTATTGGAGTACTTTCGTGGTTAATATAGCTGACAGCTTAGTGGTTTTGGTCTTGTCTGTGAACTAGCTTGAGGTTCTATTGTATTTTTGTATTTCTCCGTTCTTACTGCAGATTAGTCCACCTGGTTTGTCTGAAGCTTGTGAAATTGTAGGTCTCGCTCAGCACTGAATATGTGTACCGATATTTCTCCTGTGCACGTGTCATGTCACTTTAAACTTTTTTTTTTAAATTTTATTTATTGTGTGTGTGTGTGTGTGTGTGTGTGTGTGTGGCCAGCTCAGCCCACCAGGGGCGGGGCGGGCTGGGCTGGCATGTGCTGCTGGGGGATTGAACCGCGGTCCCTGTGCTTTGCTGAGCTTGTTCTTAGTAGGTGCTTTAGACCACTGAGCCATCTCACCAGCCCCTCAAACTTTTTTTTAATGACAAAAGTCTTGCAGTGGAATCCCAGCTGGCCTTGAACTTTGGATGATCCTCCTCTCAGCCTCCTCAGCGCTGGGATTGCAGATGTGTGCTACTGCCCCTAGCTGTGCACATTGCGCCTTGTATTGGATTGGTGACGCTGTTACTTTTGGCTCTTTGGGATTGCCAGTGTCATTGTGCTTTGTTGAGAGCGCTGGCTGCAGGTTGGCCTGGCTCAGTGGCTAGCCCAGGCTGGTGCATGTGGTATAAGTTAGTTCACTAGCAGGCAGACGAAAAAGTTCACGTGGTGCGAGATGCAGGCTCCTCGGGTAGTGTGCACTCGAGAGTTGATGCTCTGTTTCTGTGTGGAAATTTGCATTTAATATTTCTGGACTCTGCAAAGGAAAGTTGTGAATAAGCATGGAATCAGAAATCAGATACAGAAGGACAACCTGGGGCACAGTGCGGGGAAAGAGGCACGGAAAGAAAGGCCCCAAGGCTCTCCAGATCACGGATGGGATTCAGTGTTTGACAGCAAGGCTTACAAGATGCTCCATTTCAAAATATTGAAGGCCAGGGAGATGGCTCAGTAGAATAAGCGCTTGCCTGCTTGCAAGGGCTTGAGTTCAATCCCCTGTTCCCACTAAAAAAAAAAAAAAACAATATTGAAGACAACAAGGTCTAGGGAGATAGCACATGGCATGAGCACCTCCCCGGCAAGCACAAGGTCCAGAGTTCAGTTCCTAGTACTGCAGGAAAAAATACAGATGGAAAATTTCATGAAAATAATTATCATTCGAGAAGATGGAAAAACTACCCCGGCTATATCGTGTAGGCCTGAAGAAAGTTGTCATCCTACTGCACCCTGTAAAGATGTGTGAATGTCATATCTCCATGAGAAATGTGTGTTAAGCCACATGAAGTGCAGTGCACAGCTTTGCTTTTTTTTTTTTTTTTTTGGGGGGGGGGGAACTGGGGATTGAACTCAGGCCCTTGCGCTTGCCAGGGAAGCGCTTATTCCACTGAGCCATCTCCCCGGCCCCTAGCACACAGCTTTGATCCCTGTAAGCTGAACAGTGAGGCAGGAG